TCTCTTGGATCCGCTGAGGATTGAGCGGTTGGGAAATGTGGTACTGGTAGCAGGTAGACATCTCATCCTGCCCAGTACTAGCATTTACTAAGGTTTGTGGGGATTTTTTTATGCCCATAAATCTCTGGATGTTTCGCAAACCATGCTCAGATAGAAGCAGGAATCAATGGGCTTTAACTTAATCTGGGTTGCAGAATTTGGGTGTGATCACAGTGGTCCCTCCAATCTTTGACCCTGCGTTCAGTGCGGCTTCTTGCACGTGAAACAGGGAACTTTTCGGCTTGGAAGAGCGCAATTATGGCCTCAAGTTGTGCCAGGGGAGGTTTAGATTGGATATTAGGAAAAATTTCTTCACTGAGAGGGTGGTCAGGCATTGGAACAGGCTGCCCAGGGAGGTGGTGGAGTCACCGTCTCTGGAAGTGTTCAAAAAACGTGGGGATGTGGCACTTTCAGGACATGGTTTAGGGGACATTGTGGTGCTGGATTAATGGTTGGACTTGATGATCTTGAAGGTCCTTTCCAACCTAGTGATTCTGTGAATAAGCTGTACCTTGGACTGTTTCCCTGCACTGAGCTCTTGGTGTCATCTGGCTCGACCCTGCATTTCCAGCCCTGGGTTTTGCCAAAGCAGTGCTGGGCCCCAGGGGAGGTGGGGCTGAGTCCGTCAGCTCTGTCCCAGCGAGGCTGTTGCCTGAGGTGCGTTATATGGAGAAGGAAAAAGCAGAGATAAAAGGGCCTTTCTGCCTTCAGTGCTTTAGCTAGCATAGCTGGATTTCTTGAGGAAAACCCAATACAACAAATTACCTCTGTTGGATGTTCCCTTGGTCCTATGCAAGTATAAATCTACTGTGAAATGCAAAACCTGACTCCTTTTCCTCCACAGTGCAGTGCGTTCAGCCCGGCTAGCACAGAGTAACCTGTGGTGGCACAAGGGCAGTCAGCACATCTCTGCTGAGAGTGGTGGGAAGGATGTGGTAGCCTTTAAAACTGTTCTAACAGGAGGGCAGGTGCTCCTCAGAAGGTGCCTGTTGCCTGTTCCCTTTGAAAACAGTGCAAAAACTGAACCCTGGACTAGATCCCGGTTGCTTTTCCCAGCGATGTCACTGCTTGTGTCTTGCAGAATGTGGAGATGCTCAGCAGCCTGGACTCTGCCTCCGTCCGAATCATCAAGCCCTTCCCTGCGGCACAGTCGACAAGCCGGCCCCAGCCACTGCAGCCCATCACAGCCGTGCCTCCCGTCGCTGCAGCACCGAAACAGGACCACCAAAGGATGGACACGATTCAGGAGGACCCAAGCACTGACTCTCACATTGATGAGGATGGGTTTGAGAAGGACCCTTTCCCAAATAGCAGCTCAGCCGCCAAATCTTTTGAGGACTTGACAGACCATCCTGTCATTAGGAGCGAGAAAGCTTCGTCCTTTAAACTACAGCGCCAGAACCGGGTGGACAGCAAAGAAACAGAATGCTAGTGTCTTGCTGCCTTCTAAACATATGACTCATGTCTGCAAAATAAGGATCTAAAACCATTTCATTTATATAAATATAAATATATGTGTATATATATTTTTGTGAGGGAGTGGGAGAAATAAGGAAGTGACCTACTGCAGATGCTGGTCATGTGTATGACCTTCCTTAAATTACATTTATTAGAGCATTATATCTTTTACAAAGGAAAATCCAAACTTAAACTGGCTTGTTTTTGAAGCTTTTTTGGATTTGTTTTTCTACTTCCTTGACCTTTAACATTTCCTTCAACCTGTGGTGCAAAACCGAATATCCTGCTGGATATTGGATTGTGTATATTGGCCTTTTTTATAATTTAATATTTTGTAGTCTGACAGCACTGATAGACAAAATTAAGGGGCTTTTAAAAACAAAATGAAAACATGGCAGTATGTTCCATATAGAGTAGATCATTTAGCAGTTGAAGGTACACATAAGCAAAAGCCTGAACAGATGCCTTGAGAACAGAATGAGGGTAATCAAACATAAAAGCATAGTCTCACAGCACTAAATGAAGATGCATAATTGGGATCAAGAAGCTTAAGATGTACAGCTTCGAAATATATATAAGGGAGTCATGCAGAGGCTGTTAAACCTTGCATGACACATGGAAATGCTCCTCTAGCATGAAACTCTTTTGCCTCTAGTGGTGAGGTGGTCTTGTCTTCATGTCTCCATGGCAGAGAAGGGCTTTTGTTGGGAGTTTCCCACCCTGCACTAGGAGGCACTAGTGTCGCAGGTGTTTGGTGGGAGAGAGAAGTAAGGGGAGAGGAGTTAGTTATGCAGATGAGGGCTGTTCTAACCAGCTGTTTACAGTGGTTCTTTTGGTGCAGAAATGTTACTCTGCATGTTATTTGAAATAGGTAACACTATTGTTGAGATGTTCAAAGAGCTGAGCCTCAGTTTTTGGGGTCTGTGCACCTTTGGAAGCTCCTACTGCATAAATAAGGGGGGGGGTGGGGATTCACTCCATTGCGGGGGGGGGCATTTGCTTACAATTGTGAATTCAATCAAAAGAGAAATAAACCTTTTTTAAACTTACAGGGCAGGTATAAGGAGGAGACTTCATAAATTCAGATTCCCACAGAGGTTGTATGGTGTGATGTTAAAAGTTGGTAATTCAATGGTATCCTCTACTTTGAGCCACCTGGAGGTCTGGAAGGTGAGCATGGCACATGAGCGTTGCTTTAGCTTTGTAGCAGTGGGACTGACAGAATTGCAGAGAAACTGTTGCCATAGTAAAGCAGCATCTTAATTCTGCATGTTTTCACCCATAATAATCTGTTGATAAAACTGACATAAAATGTGACCAAGGGTAGAGCCATTTTAACTGTTACAAGCCTGCGCTCAGCCGTGGGGCAACAGCAGCCACAGAAAGCTTTTGTGTTTTTTAACTGTGAGGGAAAGGAACCAAACCCATGCTGAAAGGATCGTGTGAGTACCCCACCTCCTCCACCCGAGGATGCTTGTTACACTAATACTTGAACGTGTGCCTTACGGTATTCCTGTCTGACTAGCTATTGTGTTTTATATGCTTTGTTTGGGGTTGGGTTTTTTGGTTTTCTCTTTTTTTTTGATTCAGTGCAAAGTACATGTGTGAGGAGTTAATTTAATTCCCGATACAATAAAAGTTTTTTATATTAAAAAAATGAGCCGTTAAATGAGCCATTTCTGTGCAGTCCTTTTAGAAAAAATCTAAATTCTTTAGTTGTCAACCCCCCGGAGTTAAAAGCCTGGCCTGCAGGCAGACTTGAGCCAGTTATTTCTAACTGCTCCCCTCTGAAATGTGGCTGCTGCAGAGGCTGGACCCAGAGTATCTGGGATGCAGCTCTGCACCTGCAGGGCTGTATCGCTTCCTACTGGGGATGGTGCTGGTCTCGCTACATCTCCTGTGGATTATCATCAGTTTTGGGTCAGTTCGGACGGGGAATAGTCGTGTCCAAGGTGTGGGTGAGTGCTCAGGCCTTTTCAGGTAGCAAATGTGTCAGGACAGGTTCTCGGTACTTCCCAGGTGACAACCAGGAGGTGGCATGTGTATGGAAGAGCGAGAACAGAGGTTTGGAGCAGGCCTCAAATCCCAGAATCTCTCCCTGAACCTGAGCCCTATTTCAGACACCGTGACATCAGTACTTGCACCATTTGTAACACCTACTGCAGGAAGATCACAGCTTTGCCTTCTGCTGCCACCAGTTATTACAGAAAGGACAGTCCTGTTCAATATCCATAAATATAAATCAAACTAGCTTCTGGTCTAGCTCCAGGCACATAAAAAATAACTACTTCTGCTCCAGTTTATAACACTTTTACATAGTAGATGACAGGTCTTGGCCAACTTGTCTCATTTAGTGATGCAAAGGCAGCCTTGTGGTGCTAACAAAGCAGTGCATCACGATGCTCTCATCTGTCTCTGTCTCACCTAATGCATAATAAATACATGACCTAAGGCCTCACCTGTTTTGTGCCAATGTAACTGTTAAAACAGCCCAGAATGCTGGGGCGGTGGGGGGGGGGAATGTTAGCTGCAGTGATGCACTATTTGTCTATCTCCTTAATCCATGCTCTACTAGTAATCTCATTTGTTCTGCTATCTGGCTGGCTACCTAATTATTTCCCAAGCCACTTTTTTTTTTTCCATATTTGTTGAATTTCATCTAGGTTTCAGGCAATTTTTTTTCAGTTTGTAAAGGTAGTTTTGTAGTTTGTGTTCTCTTGCCCAAAAAACTGCATGGTGTGCAGTACTCATCTGTCACAACAGTTGTTAAATTATGGATGAAGGCCAAAGCTCATGGAAGTGTCTCCTTAACTTGATGGCAAATTATATATGGCTCACCGTTGTCAGCAGAGATGCAGAGCCTTTCTAGTAGTTTCTTCAAGATCCAAGCTTCTCAAAATGAGTGTGTGATCACCAGTTTTATGCTACATGCACTGTTTTGAAATCTGCTGCTGGTGCCAGTGTTAAGTTAGAATTTAAAACCCCTGCTGTGACCTGCACTACATCACTATTGAGCTAAAGCTCAGGTAGCTGCTTTTACTGCTATATTATATCCAAACAAATGAATCTGGACTGACATTAATGGCTCTTGACAATCTCCACACTGCTGCCTCTTACCAGCTCCCAGGAGTTTAAAGCTAGAAGATGGCATTAATCAAGGTGGAGTCCCCAAGGCTCAGCAAGGCTAGGAACTCCTCAGGGCAGCCTCTGTCCCAGGTTTGCAGGCAACTGAGGCTCTCATTTTCCTCCAAGTCTTCCAAGGAAAGAGCTGCTCAGTCCCCTCAGATGTTCAAACTACCGGCCCATGCAGCATGCAGACAAACCACCCCGAAAACACCTCCACGTGGTCTCATCTTTATTCTCCCACACATCAACAGAAGGGGGTGCGGAAGAGTATCATTGGGGGCCTCCTCGCTCCCCTAGGTGCTGTGTTTGGGGTGTGTTGCTGGACACCAGCCGCTTGTAAACAGACTGGCTTTGTCAGGTGTGGCTGCTTCAGCTCCTTACTGCAGGGGATCGTGCAGAAGGCTGGCCTCGGGGTTGGCGTGGTCCACCTCGCGCCAGTAAGGAAGCAGTGAAGGAAGAGCAGACAGTTTTTTTTCCAGGCGTGACCAAAGTTGTGTTGCTAGAAAGCTGTTGCCTTTTGTTGATAAATGGAGCCCATCAGACAAATAGGAAGAGAAATCCTACAGGGGAGGTTAAAACCATATATTAATGTATTTGCTAGCTGCAAATAGAAGGTCTTGAGTCATTTTTAAGGAAGTTCTTCAAAGCCAGATGCTATGTATACTGCTTTTATTTTTCAGCAGTTGTATTAAAATATTAAGAGAATGTTCTGATGGCTGAAGTCACTGCTATTCATCAGGAAAAGGTCACGAGATTAAGTGATGCAATCAAAGTATTCAGAGAAAAGATTCGGTGTCTGAACTGGAGTTACCTGCTTACGGGAAAAGTCTGCAATCTCTGTCACATGGACCAGTTTGGATGTTTGGTCAGAACCATCAGCAAGGTACCCGTGCGACCCGATCTAGCTCTGAAGTTAGCCCAACATTGTGCAGTGGGTTGGACTAGATGCCTCCAGAGGCCCCTTCCAACCTATGCTATTCCATGATTCAAAGTCCAAGGAAAAGGTTATTTACATGTAGTGCACCCAGGGGACATTTGCTAACCAAATATAATGGTCAGGTTATGTTAAGCTTTATTTCTCCTAGCACAGCATGATGCATTCTGGATTGGGTATTCTTCCTTCCCCAAAAACGTGATTTAGATATATTTTGTACCATGTCAGTGATAACGCAGCACTGCTGGTTCCTCTATGCTAAGTTATGCATTTCACAATTCATGACAGTTTCAAAGTCTTTCTCATAAAAAGAGACATCATTCATACCTGATTTTTTTGCATCAGTGTCCAGAGGTCGAGTACATCTGTTCCACAGTCCCTAGCTACCTGAACACAGGCCTGGGCATATTCTCCGGTGGTGGCATTGCGGCGATTTAATTTGTCACCTGTCAACCAGAAACAAAACATTTAGCAATCATGACTGATACAGCTTGATTTCAGCCTTCTGCGGTACACAGGATGCGTATCAGTGTGTGTCATGGTTTAACCCCAACCGCCAGCTAAGCCCGACACAGCCGCTTGCTCACTCACTCACCCCCGCTGGGATGGAGGAGAGAATTGGGGAAAAAACCTCGTGGGTTGAGATAAAGACAGTTTAATAGGTAAAGCCAAAGCTGTGCACACAAGCAAAGCAAAACAAGGAATTCATTCACCACTCCCCATGGGCAGGCAGGTGTTCAGCCATGTCCAGGGAAGCAGGGCTCTATCACGCTAACGGTTACTTGGGAAGGCAAACGCCACTACTCCAACCATCCCCCCCTTCCTTCTTCTTCTCCAGCTTTATATGCTGATCATGACGGCATATATGCTGATCATATATGCTGATCATATATGGTCTGGACTATCCCTTTGGTCAGTTGGGGCCAGCTGTCCCAGCTGTGTCCCCTCCCAACTTCTTGTGCACTCCCAGACTCGACTCCTACCTGGTGGGGTGGTGTGAGGAGCAGAAAAGGCCTTGACCTTGTGTAAGCACTGCTCAGCAGTTAATAAAAACCTCCCTGTATTATCAACACTTTCCAGTGTTCATGAAGAACTCATGAAGAAAATTAACTCTATTCTATTAACTCTAATCCAGACAAAACCAGCACAGAGTGTTAAACCAGCAGCCATAACCAATTACCAACTAAATCCAAAGCACTTCAATTCAAGGGGCTGGCAGCACTAGCTCATTTAGTCTCTTTCAGGGTACCTTCTGTTTTTGAGGCATTTGGAAATATGTTTCTTGTTAACAGGTACGTAACAGGTGACAGAGAGGCAACAGCAACAAGCACACAGCATAACGCTTCCTTCTGTGCTGCTCATAGCTTTCACCTTCTGGCAAGCTTCAGGTGAAATCAGTGCATAGATTTGAAATTCTTCATACACCTGCGACTGGCACGTAGAATGGAGTTAAGTAAATGTAACTCTATTTACAAGCTTGCCTTCTCCTTCCTGGATGACAGCCGACATTTAACACCTGCTTTGCAGTCATCTCCTCATTGTAACATACTGGTGATGATTTCAAACCAGGGTATATTTAGGTGCAAAGCTCTATCAGAGCTTGTGCCTACCACATTTGTGAGCGCAGCTACGCTGGCAGCTGGGTGTTCAGCCTGTGCTCAGTGCCAGCTGCTCTAAGCCAGCAGTTTTGCACGGACAACAGTGAAACTTTGGGGTAGGATATTATTAAGTAATGGGGGGGGGCGGCGATGGTGGTGTTTAATGGGACCTCTAAGTACAATTCATCAACTCCTACTCTACTCCCTCCTTGCATCTGATGATTCCCACTTCTTCACAGTGCTCTTTCCTCCCATCATCTTTCTTTTCACCATAAAAATACCCTCTGCATCCTCACTGATCCTTCCCTACCATGGTGCACTTCCTAACTTGTTTTCTATGACTTTCTTCCTGGTTCAACTCTCCCACAGACTGAGTGGCCCTTCAGCTCATTTAGCCTCCACCATGCAGAGCTCCTTTGTTGCCAAGTTCCCTGCACTGATGACAGCCTCACTTCGCCAGGCATTGTCCTGCAGTCCTGTCCCTTTCCCTTTCTATGACTTCTAATCTAGCAGAGCTGGTAATTTCTTATTTTCCCTTTGCCTTTTCTTTCGTTAGGATCACTCCCTGGCTGTTTCACCTCCTCTTCCATTCTGGAGGCACACAAGCACATGTCTGCTCTTAATGTGCAGCTCTGCAGGAGCACGTGCTGGGTCTATAAGCTAAAGAGCAGCAGCCAAAGGAAGTTCAGGGAAGATGGGTATCCCCTGAAGGACCAAGGAGGCAACCTAGTTATCCACCCGAGTACGCAACCTGCTTCCGGACTTCTGCACGTACCCAGCCACCATGGGAAGGAGGATGGCCAACAGCGGGGAGCAATGGCTTAGCAATGGGATACTCGGAGACACCAGATGCATCTGGGTGCGTGGGACTCACCTGAAGGAGCTGCCTGTTGCATTGGTGAGGTCATTACCTACCACCTACAAAAATTCATGGCTAACAGGAGACCCATGGCAAATGGAAGATTAACATTACACCCATTTTTAAGAAAGGCAAGAAAAAAGACTCCCTAGCTTTAGCAAAGCCAGATAGTGTCTGACCATCCCAATTGCTTTCTGAGATGAAATGATGGCTAGCAGATGACAAAGAGCAGCTCAAACTTCTTTAGTAAGGGCTTTAACTCTGTCTCCCACAGCACTCTGATCTGGAAGCCCTATTTCTTTTCGCACCTCTTTTCACATCTGGGTGAATGTTCCTGTGAACATCATCATTCTCATGTTTCACATCTCTCCTTTGCTCTGCTATCTATCTGACAAAACTAGGAAGCAGCAGAACATTTCTCCTGGATACGGGTTAAGGGCAGATGGTCTGATATTGCTGCTTACTGTGTCCACAAGACTTTATTTGTGGTCCACAGCCTGAGATGACCCTGTCTTTTGTTCCTTCCCTAGACAGCAATCTCTTTTAGACAGATGCTGGCAGATTCAACACTGTAAATGCAAGTTTCCTCCCTCTCTACCCCATAAAAAGGATAGCTTTAAGATGAAAATGAACTAACATGTAAAAAGTGTCACTGGATAGCTAGGAGCCAGATAAGCAGCATTCATGGTGTGCTCAACCTAACAGATCTTCAGAAGGACAGTATGGGTGCCTGTTTTGCAAACTATGGCTGTAGCAGTTTTAGTGGGAGCTGGGCACACACACCAGGAAAGGCTGCTCTGCGCCTGACCTATCGCTTACACCCCACCCAAGGATCTACCGTCACATAGACACTACCTGCTACCTCCAAGTTTGATCTGACCTGCTACAACTGCTACTGTCTTACACAATTTTTGAGTATTACTCTACGACTTTCTCTGCTTTTCCAAATTAAATATAAGAACTACCCTGCTGGATGAGACCAAAAGCCCATATAGTCCAAAATCTGTTTTGCACAGTGATCACTGCCACACAACAAAGACACCTCATGGGAAGTCATGCAATAACATAGTCTAATTTAAAGTAGTTTGAACATGAAGTCATCTTCAAAATGTTTCCATTTTGATTGAGTACACAAATCAGAATACGCAATACCACCTAAATTGGAGAAAACTCTGCAAAACTAAGGTGACAGCTCTCTATTTACCTGAATCTAACTTGGAAGTCTTTTATAAATTGCAAGAACTGGACAAGCTGTCCCAGTGGAAAAGAGGACGTGGTCTCAGGAGGTATAAACTGTCGCTGCTGGAGTCACTGGGATTATGGCAATTTCCACCAGCTGAGTAACACGAAGTAAGCAGTGCTGTTATATCTCTATTTTCACAGCTAGCTTGAGCAACATAATGAGAAATCATTTAATCACTTTTTGCTTCTTTTTCAGGTACTTTCATGAGCATCCTTAGAACGTGATATTCTTTCTTTTTTTAAATTTAAAATAAACCTGGCTAGGATGTCACTGCTTATCCCAATAGCTGTGAAATATGCTGTGGCTATTATAAAATTTTCTAAGGCACACAATGCCAAAAATCCTTCCATTATTCATGTTATTTTGGAAGCTGCTAGGACATGACGTAGTCTGCCTAGGACGTCTCAGCAAAACCTCTGTTCTGAAAGGGCAGCCACTTCTGTCAGTTTTATGCACGAACAGATCAATCAGCAGTTTGAAAGGATGTTACTAGTTAGTTGGTAGTTACTCCACGAGCTTATCCAAAAGCTGTTCCACAAAACAGCTAGCAGTCCTTTTCCATCAACTCAAAAAACACAAGTGCAATCTGGTACAAGCACAAAGCTAATCATCTGTCAGCCTGGGATATAGCAACTTACATACACTCTGCTGGTAAAATGCAGAAATTCTGCCCATCCATATCATTCTCTTACCTTTGGCAAGACACTCCTTTTCCCAAGCTGATTCCTGAAGAGGTGGTGGCGTTATCAAAATAATCCTGTCTTCAGTAATGTCTATGGACTTCAGATACTGTATCATGCTCTTTAAGTTCGCAGCATATTCCTCCAAAGGAACATGTTGCTTAGGGTTCAGATCTGTTAGGGGATGGAGCACATGCATTAGCCATGTTGAACTGCTTACAGATTTGTTACACAACATAAAGTGCTTTTTACACAGCGTGTGAATGTGGGCACTCATTTTCAGTAAAGCAGTTCACCTCAACCATTGATTCAGGAGGTGTTGTAGGAAAATGTCATTCCTCAACATTCAAACCAGACCCAGAGTTTAAACACAGCACTTCGAAATAATACAAATGAGGGACCGGGGGAAAGAAATCACCTTTTTTTTTTTTTTTTTCAAAGATGCATTGTCTTGCAGCTCTGTATCTTATTACCTCAAACTTCACCTGAAACAAAAGCTAAGATTTTTCACTCTCTTGGATGCAGAGAAAAAAATTCAAAATTCCCATGGACATACAGTCCATTGTGCACTGAGGTTATTTTGATTAGACTAGCTCTGCATGATGCTATGCTTATCTTAAAGAGAATTCAAATGCTACCTTCCCTCACATCCTCAACCCATCTGCCAGGAACCCATTAGACTGCTTTAAAGGCAGAAAAATCATTCAGCTAGATGCCCAACTCCAATTTTTGGTGATGGACAACCCATTTTAGGGATCTGGACAGGCTGGATCAATGGGCTGAGGCCAACTGTATGAGGTTCAATAAGGCCAAGTGCCGGGTCCTGCACTTGGGTCACGACACCCCCACAGGACGCTGCAGGCTTGGGGAGGAGTGGCTGGAGAGCTGCCCAGCAGAAAAGGACCTGGGGGTGCTGGTGAACAACTGGCTGAACATGAGCCAACAGCGTCCTGGCCTGTATCAGCACTAGTGTGGCCAGCAGGAGTAGGGAAGTGATCGTGCCCCTGTACTCGGCACTGGTGAGGCCGCACCTTGAATCCTGTGTTCAGTTTTGGGCCCCTCACTACAAGAAGGACACTGAGGTGCTGGAGCGTGTCCAGAGAAGGGCAACGAAGCTGGTGAGGGGTCTGGAGCACAAGTCTTCTGAGGAGCGGCTGAGGGAAGTGGGGTTGTTCAGTCTGGAGAAGATGAGGCTGAGGGGAGACCTTATCACTCTCTACAACTACCTGAAAGGGGGTTGTGGCGACGAGGGTGTTGGTCTCTTCTCCCAAGTAAGTAGTGATAGGACAAGAGGAAATGGCCTCAAGTTGCACCAGGGGAGGTTTAGATTAGATATTAGGAAAAATTTCTTCACCAAAAGGGTTGTCTAGCATTGGAACAGGCTGCCCAGGGAAGTGATCGAGTCACCATCCCTGGAGGTATTTAAAAGACGTGTAGACAGGGTGCTTAGCGACGTGTTTTAGTGGTGGACTTAGCAGTGAATGGTTAACGGTTGGACTTGATGATAAAGGTCTTTTCCAACCTGAACAATTCTATGATTCTATTCTATGATCAACAACTAATTCTTGAACACACCTTGAAGTTTACTTTTAATATTAAAACTTGGTGAGAAGGAGAGAAATAAAAGGCAGTGCATGGTTTAAATACAAATAAGATGACTGAAAACAATCCACTGTAAAAATGAAAAAAGGGCAACTGCTTCATAGAGAAGCAACAGGAAGAGTCTGTGTAACATTCTGCCTTTTCTGCTAAATTGTAAAACTGTCTTAAGAGAACAAGTCACAAAAAAAAAAAAAAAGCTACTGTACCTTTCAAAGCACTGTCATTTGCTCCAAAGAAAATAGTAACTGCAACAGTGTTCTCAGCACCAGTACTTTTACTGATCAGTCTTGGAAGGATCAATTTAGCCCACCTGGTGTTGTAGCCCGAGAGCCCACGGTTCACAACATCACATTTTCTGAAACAGAGACAGACACGCATTAAAAAGAACATCTCTCCTCTGCTCAGCAGAACAAAACTTGGGAAGTTTTGAAACATCCTGTCAGTATACCTTCCCTCTTGGAAACAACAAGATGTCACAGGAGTTTTCAGTGGGATTATAACTTTATGTTTTGAAAGTGCATCCACAGATTTCATGTGTAGTATTTACCTGTCACTTACATAAACTATGAAATTAGAACAATCTTGACAATCACTAAGGATTTTTTCTTTCCACTCAAGGTCTGAGTGGAAAGAAACACCCGACGAGTATTTCCACCAATATTGGGCAGGTTATTATTAAGGCAGTTCCACTTCAATAAATATTATTAAATGTTAATAAATAAACAGACATTAAAAATTAACCTGTGTTGCTTTTCTTCTAGAAAAGCTGCATGACTTCCTGCATGCTAGAAATTACTTCTGAAATTTAAACTCTTACCTGACCAGCCTCTCAGCAAGGGATGCCCCCCAGCCATTTTCCTGGAAGGAGAACTGAAATCAAGGAACATAGTTAGAACTTCACTGGAATAACTCACTCCCCAGCAGGTCAGTCCCACCAGCAGCATCTTCCTTCCTGAAACGCGTTTTGTGCACGGCCCCTGCAGAGGTCAAACAGCCCCAGTCTTATCTCGATACACAACGGGCATCAGAGGCAACATGGGACCACAGCTACAGAGCGACAGATGCCCTGTGGTCCCTTTACAGTCAAAACTGACTGCTGTCAGGCTGTAGTTTCTTTTCTTTTTTTTTTTTAAACTTTTTCTACTTTTATTTCTAAGATCCTTTCACTGTGCCTTCATTCTGGAAAGCACCTCTCAGAAATCCTCTCTCCACATGCTGCTTCGGAGTGCAGTTTGATAGCTACCTCTTCTAGTACTGGAAAAATTAATCCCTTCTCCTTATTCCCACTGCTGCACCATCCTTCCCGTTACAATGCTGCACAGTGAGTCAGTTTAGAGAAACAATCAATCATCTCCCATTAAAGACAACCTTTGTCTCCGGCCAAATCTTTTTTAATCAGAGCAGCTCTGTGACCCATTCTACCATGCAGCCCATCCCACAAAAGGCAGGGACCCAAAATGAACGCTAAAAAGCTGGTACTGCCTCAAAAGAGATGTTCACTGAGCCATGGTCTGGTCACATTGACACAGAACATGTCTCCAGGGTGAGTGAGCTCGAGGCCCGGAGCTGCACAGAAGGGATGCACCAGGGGCCGGGACAGGGAGGAGTGCAGGGATCAGTACGGACAACAGGCTGTTCTCCCCGTCTGGGTAATGCCACTGCTGCCGAAAACCCAGAAGCTACACTTTCAGCAGATCATGCTTCAAACATAGGAACTTCATGAATTTCTGCAAAAAGCCTCTAAATCTCCTAAAAGACCACTGGGCGTGAAAGCTCCTGGAACACTCTCATGAGAGATCATAGAATCATAGAATAGTGTGGGTTGGAAGGGACCTTTAAAGGTCATCTAGTCCAACCACTCTGCAGTGAGCAGGGACATCTTCAACCAGATCAGGTTGGACAGAGCCCCGTCCAACCTGACCTGGAATGCTTCCAGGGATGGGGCATGTCTGCCACCTCTCTGGGCAACCTGGGCCAGGGTTTCAGCACGCTCATGGTGAAAAATGTCTTCCTTCTATCATCTAGTTGAAATCTTCCCTCTTTTAGTTTAAAGCTATTACCACTTGTCCTATCACAACAGGTCCTGCTAAAAA